TATAGATACAGTAATTGTACTAGCATTGCCAAAAGAAATAGAAAAAAGTCCTTTACCAATTCTATAAGTAATCACAACATGTGAAATTAAACGAGCGATATTAGAAGTCGTGTGAACATTATAAAATCCCATATAAGCAATTAAATAATTTTTATAATGTAAAATCATCATCTACCCAATGACAAGTAATTTCAATGTAAAAAATATCTTGCCGATGTTCGGACCAAATGTCACAACAAATAGAAATTCTTTGGTTTAAAATTTCCAAAGTTTGCGCCAAAATAATTTTTTTTTTTTCTCACTCACAATTTTTCAAATAGCACGAGTGAAGTAGTTCGTGGAACCCTGAGATACAGTTGGGTATAGAGCCATTTAAGCAATTTTTTCATGAAAATTAGAATCAACAAAACTGAAAGGAAGAGAAACCACAAACAAATTCAACTAGTTTTTTTCTATGGTTTTCATGAGAGTATTGGAATAAAGTAGAAGGCATACATTTCATGCAGTGCTACTCGTGCCCGGTAATTGCGCTTGGATCATGGGAATCCCAATTTTGCACAGATGATGTGATCGTATGTGTCGTGTAAACGTTTTCGTACCCATCGCTGATTTTAAAAGCATATTTCTTCTCCAGTACGGCGGACAATGATTGCAAATACATATAACATATTTATCATTTTCTTTTTCTCATTGGGCACCTTCGTGAAGTGGCATGCAAATATTTCGGATTTCATCCCATCAGCTTGACCCTCTCTGTCGTTGCCTGCAATCCGAGTCCGTTGAGGTTGTTGAGGTCCTCCACCCTAAGTAAGATCAAAATCGCCTTCATATGGCTTCTCCTGGTTCTCCTCGGTCTCCTCGAACAATAAGCTCTGGTGGATTTCTTCAATAGAGTGAAAGATGCGTTGGACCATCTCGGGCGTAACATCACCGGGAAGACCAAGAACGTCCCGGTATACCGTTTGTCTCGGTGTCGGTAAGGGAGGTATACTCGAAGAATATTCAACTATATTTTTATGCTTTTGTGGTGGCCGATCACCGGCACGACTACAATCAACACCACCACGAGAACTCGATATTTTATGACTAGAATAAATTTTATAAAATAAAAAAGAGAGTTAAAAATGATAGAATTAGCAATGAAAGAGTATTGCTTAAATGATGTATAGAATCAGAACCGAAATGAGAGTGAATATATAGAATAGAGATTTCGGGATCAAATATACATAGAATCATACCGAATTATAGCAAACCGAGCAAAAAAATATAAAAACTAACACTTCGGAACTTAGAAATGAGTAGAGAAGAGAGTGAGATGTTGTGAAAGGTGTGAAAAATCTTATTGGGAGGGGGGTATTTATAGGAATTTTTTGATTTTTTTTTAATTTTCTCGTTTTTTTATTTACGGGACCCGCTGGGTCCGGGTTGGTCGAATCTTGACCGTTGGATCTCACTCGTCAAGATGACCTAATGGTCAGATTTAAAAAACTGGTTGTTGGGCCAACTATTGTGGAACTAGCAGGACGGGTCGAACCTAGACCCAGACTGGAACTGAATTAAAAAATAAATAAATAAATAAAAATAAAACTGACCGTTGGATCTCTAATGGTCATAAGGTTCCACTGACCCAGATTAGCGGTAATGGGTCACTACCTGAATCTGGATAGAACCGGTTTAGATGAGCTCCGATCACCCTAAACCATCGGGCGTATTGTAGCGCCCCTTTCGTTCTAGATTGATTAGTGTATTGTAGGTTTATTCACCTCGTGTTTAATTCAAGTGTTTCACTCAGCAAACCCTCGATACGCTTCTGTAATCGATTGGAGGCACTCGTCTAGTCTATCGTGTTAATCGAATAATTTTGTAGACATAATCGTCTACTTAAATTATTTTTGTTCGTTGGAGTTTATTTCGATTAATCGGTTGGCATCGTCATTTAAAACTATTAATTCTCGTCAATCGTAAATCGTTCGGCCGTTGTTTGATTTATTTCCGCTCGTCGAATCGTTTGGTTATTCTTCGTTGCATAAATATATTTTCGAGCCATTTTAGCTATTTTCACAAACCTTGGTCTCGGACCCTTTTTGGCTAATTGGTTCGGCCTTCGAGCCATTTAATTCGGCCCTTTTGCTGAAAGAAAAACCGATCCCTTGAGATTTCTTTTGCTCCAAGCTTTAGTTGTGAAATCCATTTAA